TAAACAAGCCATAATAAGGAAGGTTCTGAGGGAGTAGCTGTGGGAATTGTGGCACCGCTTGTTTCCACTGAGTTTCTTGGACCGACAATTGATGTCAAGCAGAGACTTTGCCCTTTTTTGGCATGATATATTGGTTGCACAAAGCCATCCTTCTTCACTCCGTATGTTTTCCCTTTTAGTGCAGCATAGAATTACAGAAGTTAATAATGGCTTCAAAAATTGCAAGACATATTACATTTGCTGTCCATCTTGGTTAAAAAAGGATTATGTCCACCGTGCTTCTTTGTGGAGGCTGCCAATTGTACCCACATGGGAAGTATTTTTGTTGCATTTGGAAACATCCACCCAATATAATTTAATAATGAAAATCCCTCTTGCTTGTGACCTCAGACAGATGTTGAAAACAGGTTTACAAAGCCTTCGGAAACATAGTCCATTATAGTAACAGTACGTATAACAGAGACACAAAGGAGGGATGGAAAAAGGTAGTTTGTTCCTGAAAAACAATGTTTTCCTTTGACTTTGAGGAAGTGTTTGTGTCAGCTCACAAGGTCCTGCCTTTCCTGACCATAGTGGAACCTACCTGACCTCTGTCACAGAGAGCCACTGGTTTTCCATGTGCTGGATCACCTTGCTGCTGCAATCAGAGCATCCTAAATCACAATATTGGCTGTCACAATCACTTCCTCCAGATGTGCCAGAAGAGTGCTACCACTGACAGCCTCACACTAAAGAATGCATCCCAGAGAGACACAGAACAGATGAAGAAAGATTTAACAAATGTTTGAAGACATTTGCTCCTGAGGTAGCTCAGGAGATTTTCAGTAATGCCTGCTTGCAGCCAGGCCATGGATACCGCGTGAAAGGCTGTTTTCAAGCACGTCAGTCCATCTGCTTTTGGGCCTCATCTTGTCGCTGAAGAGGACGACAAACACTGTTGATATCAAACCAGTTCACGGCTTCCAAATTTCCAGAATATGGCTCAAATGACCAGAGTAAAATATTGCTTCAGATTCAGGCTGCTCTCTTTCCTGGCTGTCCAGATACCTGGGTGACTGCTGGCTTTAGGAAAGCCTATTTTTCCCTAGCTGCTCATACACAGGACACCCCCGTGGTTCCCACGCTGCAGCGCGCCGTGTTTCCAGATCCAGCATCGCAAGGTGACACACACAGGCTCACATGTGCGGGGAACAAGAGGAGCCAAGCGGCATGTGTATCAGGTTATAAAATACGCACACATTTTTACTATATATACCCACTGTATTACTGTGCTATGCCATCATATCATTCCTAATTATTTAGGCGATAATCTCTATTGCACTGTAGTATATGATGCAATAAGCAGCTGGTGCGATTGATGAAATGGCAAAGCAAAGCTTTTAAAGTACATGCTATTTCCAGCTCATTTGCACACCTGCCAAAATCCACTGGTGCTGTTCGGGATTTATGAGGAGGAGGTGGTTAAATTTTGCTGAGGAGTCCAGGTTAGTCCAAAAGTTTAGAAAGCTATCAAAATGCAAAATCTGTTTTTTTTTTTTTTATCCTGCAAGCTTGACTTGATACCCATAGTGCAGTCCCATTTTAAAAAATTTACTCTGTAATGCAAAAGCAGAGCATAAAACCAACAATCTGTGTAATTTTACATTATATGAATACTGACCATACTCTTATGAAAAACCAAGTAGCTAGTAAAATTTGAGATTAAAATTAGAGTTGCCACAGAATAAAATACATTTTTAAATACAAGGCTTGCTAAGCAATTATAAATGCAGTTGCATATTGAAGAAATATTGACTCTTTTTGTTTTAGAAAGCTTGCTGTTCATAAGAAAGGTTTTGAGACACATCTATTGGCACATCAGGTAATTCTGCCCTATAATTACACTGTTCCAGCACCTCTGTAGTCCTTAACTCTGTTCCTCTGGTTTTCATTTTTTTTTCCCTGGTGTTTCTGAAAGCACCTGCAGATACAGGAGCAGATGTGTACCATTAGAAGTCCTTAGGGTAACAGTACCAGATGTGACTAATGATTCCACCTCCAGAAGCATCAACCATTAGAAGTCACTTCCACTATACAGCAATGTATGATGTCATGTTTGAGCTGAAATCACAGAATCATAAAAATGTTAGTTGGAAGGGACTCTGGAGGTGCTCTGAATCTCCCCAAAAGCAACTTGTGGCCATTGCACGTCCTCCATTGCCACTCCTGAGCAGTGTTTCGCTCTGTTGTCTTTGCAACGCCCCTTTCAGCAGTTGCCAGCTGTTGTTGGATTGCTCCTCACTCTCCTCTTCACCAAATGCTTGGGAATAGCCTGTGTCAGAGCATGCACACAGTCTGGTGAACTGGTCAAAGCGGGAGACCTAACAAGGGCTGTCAAGATGTTGGGAAGGGAACTTTTTAAAATGTTCCAATCTGCTGTCTTTCCTTTGCAATACAGGTGGGATTAGATGACTTCGTAGCTCTTCATCGACTGCCTGCTGATGGGAAGTGAGTTTTGTTTACCCGGTGACAAAGTGGATCCTTATCTGTCAGTAACAGGGTGCTGGCACTGTAATAACTGTCCCTTTCCCTGTTCTCAGGGAAACAGCAACTGTCCACTAAAGACACTGGTATTAAGGAGTTTGACATAGCTGATATGTCTAAAGCCAGGGTGTGGCTCAAAGTTACACTGAGCTTTCCCTCCCACCATATTACTACTAATAGCTGAAGTGAATTTGCTTATGAATAGACATCATCACAGGAAGGGGACCATACACTTATTTATACTACACATTATGAAGAATGGCAACTATTGGAGAGCCACAAGAACCCATCTCTTCATTAAACTGTGGAGCAAGATAGTACCAACCCCAGTTCATGAAGACATCTTCCTTGTGACCTGCCTGTTTTGACTGGAAGTGTGCTTGTTAATGCATTAATACATTTCCAAGTAAACCATTTAACATGCAAGTACTCTTGGAAGAGTAATTTTTAAGCACTGTACAAAATACGTTATTTATGGATGATCAGTGCCTTTCCCATGGACACAGGCAGTGTTGGTATTTCCTGCTTGATACCAGGAATATTCTCTCTCTGTCTCTTTCATCTTTCCTCATGACTCTGACTAAAGAGAAGATTAAACATTTGACATACCTGCTTGTAAGACTTGGAGGTTTGCAGCCAATTGATCATGCGGAGTGAAAGAAGCTCAGAAGTGTTTAATGTTCGAAAACATTTGCTGTCACTTTGGTAGTTATCCTTTTAGATTGTCTGGAAAAATGATGAGATACAAGCAGCATCATTAAAATGTAATCATCTTCATTGGTTATAGGATAGACTTAAAACTTTTACTGCCTACTTTCTCACCTCTGTCACATTTTGACCTTGTTGGCATAATACAATAAGCTGATTTTGAAGTTTGTGTTGGTTAATGAGAATTACCTCATCTGTACTTAAATAATAAATGTAAGAGTTTGTTTAAACATGTCCAACACTTTTCTGTTATCAAGGTGATAACAGCTGTTTCTAACCACATGATTTCCTGAGCTTTAGAAGATCTGTTCCTTATTTTCTATAGAGCTTAGGAGATTCTATCCATCTCCTCTGCTCAAGAGGGATTGTTGGGAAGGGAAGAAGATAACTTCTCATGGTCTTCCCTTCCTTAGCACCTCCCATTGTGCAAGTTACCTTGCTCTAGTCACAGCTCGGTTCCTGAACTCAGGAAGAGAAGACCCATGGAGTCTGCACTGCTTTTGGAAAAGCTCACTAGTGAACCTTCATGTTTGGCAAAGAGTTCATACTTGTTTACATTTTCATTGCCTTACACTGTGCGGTGCATATTATACAGACATAACTGATGCAATTATGTATATATATATATATATGCACACATATAATTGCAAAGACATATTCAAGGTGATCTTTGTAAAAGGAGCTGGAAACTTACTTCTTTATAAGAAATAAAATGGTCACCTTCTTTATAATTCTACTTTATCTGTTTATACACCTAAGCATTTGAGACATTCACTGGCCCCGAGGACCAGTTCTGCTCATCACTAGTATATACACTCAAAACGTTGGAAAGTATCCAACCGAAGTATCAGTCTGGTTGATGGTTTAATGGCTCAGCTGACAGAAATCTGGGGTCAGCAAGTCACAGTTGCAGTCATCATGCCTGGAAAGTAGAGCTGTCTGAAATTGTTTGGACTCCCAAGGTCAGCTTTCAGAAAAGCAGGCCCCATAGTCCTTATTGGTGTTGGCACCTGAGACTCCAGGAGGAGACTGCCTTTTGCCCCTGCCCACCTTACCTCCCCCACTCCCTCAGAAACAGCATGGGGCCAATGCACGCTGCAGGGCTGGGTGTCCTTGCCGGGGTGGGGAGATGCAGTACATGAAGACCAACCAGACTATAAGGAGGTACCCACTGGCTGGTGTTAGCTGTGTGCTGGCAGCCAGGGGGATGCATTTCCTAACAGGTCTCTCTTCCTTTGCAGATGGTGCTGCTGGCTCGCTGCGAAGGGCGCTGCAGCCAGACGTCACGCTCTTTCTTCGCGCCCAGCCCGGAAGCACCCTTCCCCCCCCCCCTGCCACTGCTGCCGGCCCCAGACCTCCAAGCTGAAGGCCATGAGGTTACGATGCTCGGGTGGCATGCGGCTCACTGCCACCTACCGCTACATCCTCTCCTGCCACTGCGAGGAGTGCAACTCCTAGGGATGGACCTGCCACAGGGGTGCAAGGACCGGGATGCTGCTGTCGGGGAAGGTTCCCAGGAAGAAACCCGAGGTGAGGCTGATACTTCCAGTGTACGATTGCAGCGAGGACAACACTAACCAGGCTGGATTGGATCTGAGAGCTGAAGTGTAAAATATCCTGGGGCCCGGGATGGTGCCAGTACCAAAGTGTGGGCTGTGACAAAGGCAAAAGCACGATGACTTGTTTTTAAGAAGCCTTTCTTTTTTCTGAAAGGATATTTTTGCGAGTTTCTTCTTTTTCAGGCTCAGCTCTGACTACAGAGAGGTGCTTTTACTTTAGGCCAAGGGCAGCAGGGGAAAAGAGAGGAAGGTCAGCTGGATGACAGCACCGCGCTCCGTGAGCTGGTGTTCGGACAGAGGATGGACATCAGTTCCCATGTACGACGTCTTAACCTAACAGTTTATTCCCAGTCTCCTACTTATATTGGCCTTCAAAACAAACTGTGTTGTTGGCAAGGGTTGTCTGTTACTGATCTAGCAGCCAAGCACTGGATAACTTTAACTGTGGTTTAGCAGAAATTACAAATAAATCATTGAAAAGTGAACTGGATATGACGCATAGAGCTGGGACTAGTCAGCCCTAGCCAGCTGAAGTGATTATTTGCAGCATGCAGCATCACAGTTCAGTGGCCAAGCGACTCCTGAGAAGTGAAAGGTCATGAGACTTATTATTCCCCTCTAAAAACCTGGAAATGTGACACATCACATTTGTCACAAAAGCTATTATTCAAACACTAAAAACTAATCAAAGATTAAAATTACACATACTAAATGGAGTCTTTTCTTAACTCGGGTAAACTTGTTGATGTACAGAGCCAGAGCCACCAGAATAATGACCAAGCCTAGGACTTATTTTCATCTATGGCTCTGAGGTCATTGAGTACCATTTTGCTTTTTAAAGACAGGCAATCCCAGACACAGGGGAATCACACTGACGTGCCCATAGGAAGTTTGAGGCAGAGTTTGAGTCCCAGCACTATCCACTGCACCACAAAGGCTGTGTTTCAATTTACCTAATCATGTGCTACCTGGAGTCCTGGTTGACTCACCAACCAGCTTGGCAGTTGCTCAGGCAATCACACACCTCTTGGCTGGGCCATACGCCCATCTGTCCTTTGTGCATGCACAAGGATGTAGGAGGCTGTGGCGGGGTTAGCGGGAGCACAGACCTCACCCGCAGATGAAGCAGTCCCATTACAGCCAGGGCCTCAGAGCAGGAAGGGGACAGTGCTGTGGGGTCCTGCAGAGCAAGGGCAGCCAGTGCTTCTCCGTAAGAAGCAAGTGAGTGCCTTTCCTCATAGGACCACTGCAGAAAGAAATGCCCTGAGGAGCTGAATGAACTGTAGTGATTTATAGGGTGAAAGGATCTCAAAATAACAAAGGATCCCAAGTGTCGGAATGGTATTTATAGAGAAACTCTGTCCCTTTTCCATTAACATGAGGTCTTAGGAAGGTTCAGTCATAGTGTCTTGTGACTGTAAGGAAACAATATAACATATTACAGTTCTTACCTCCTTAAATGGCAGTATATCCAGTCAGTCAGCAATACGTCTGTGATGTTCAATAAACCTAGGTAAGACATTTTTTCATAGAAGTCATGAAGGTATCAGGATCATCTTTGCTGTGTAAGGATTCGGAGTCAGTGCAGTTTCTATTGCCCAGTAGCACCCATGTGCACAATCCCACAGTTATTCTCTGGGGGAGGCTGGAGTGGCTTCCCTGCACAGCAACGTCTGGTGGAGCCTCGTGGCGTGGAGTAAGTGCTGTCCAAGCCCAGCATTCAGTGCCTCTGTGCAGTGCAATCCAGTCTGTCTGTGGCAAATGACACAGGCAGCAGCTCAGGGGCACACACTGACATTGCAGGGGATCCCCAAGGTCTGCCAGGAGGGCAGTTGTCCTGTTGTCTACACAGGAGTTATTGTGGCTGCTCAGGCAAAGCCCAATTCCTTTGCCACTGCATCCTCATGGGGAATATGTACGGGATGTGAAGGCAAGCAAGTGATAGACACCAGCCTTGCAAGCCAAATCCTGGAGCTGGATGGCTGTCAGGCAGAAGTGGAAAACAACAGGGGACAAGTGTACCCACAGACACCAGCTAGAGAGGTTTGTGGTACATGGAAAGGACTGTCTCTGTCTTCTGGAGATGACTTGGAGATGGTCAGTTTTCAACAACACAGAGCTGTGGGCAAACAAAAGGGTGAATCAAACTGTTAGAAGCTGATGGGCTTAGATTAAAATGTCAAAACCGGGAGTGCTGAGCCCCAGTGAGCTCATTAGACACCACTCATTGTTTCAGCACTGCCAGTCATTCTTTTCACATCTGATCCGTGGTCTGAACATCAAAGGCCAAGAGAAAGGAGCATGAGCTGGGCATTATCACCAGACTACTTTATATGAAAGATCGTATGTGCTTCTCTTTTCCAATCTCTTTCAACCTCCAGCACCTAAAAACCCCATTACCCAAAAAAGCACCACCCCTACTGTTAATTATATACAGAAAATTCCAGTCCTTATATGAAACATCAGCAATACCTTTGATAACCAAATAACTATCCTGCAAAATAAGCATGACCTCTAAGCATGGGAATAGAGACTGCTGCACACAAACGATGCTACGCAGTTATCTAAGGAATGGGGACTGTTTTAAGGGTAACTGCTATATCCAGTACCACTCCCACATTGGGTCGCACTGCTGCTGGCCTTCTCTGCTGGTGCAAAATGGGATGCCAGGGGGCTGTGACATGAATTTGGGTGACGATTTGCAGCACTCCTGCATGGCTGCAGGATGCAGCAGAGCAGCGTGGATGTGTTTGCAGCCCTCTGGTGAAGAAAGAGGACAGGTTTGAGCAGAGACCATGCCTGAGCCAACTGAGAAAAAAAAAGAGAATATTATAGTGAGAGAAGAGCTTGGCTGGTAATTATTCCCACATCCCCTCACTATCACCATGCCAGAGCTATAATTGCTCAAATCAGTTTCACAGAAGATATTCGTGTTTCAACAAAAGCTTTTTTTCCGCTCTCACACATCACATTCTTTCCATTTTTACTCGGTTCCTCTAATGAAATCATCGCCTTGTGACCACAAAGGCTGTTGCCAGGCATAAATGTTGAGGTGAATTCAACATTATCTAATTTAACTGTTGAGTCAAATAGATGCATGAAAGGGATATAACAGAAATTATGAATGACAAGACAAAACATACTTGTAAATAGCTAGAACTGGATATTAAACAATTAATCAAACTTTCAAATTCTCCTTTTGGCTTTGTCAGGCAATCTTCATATTAACATTTAAGAAAAGGAGGAGCTATTCTTCAAAACTAAATGCCCCAAAGTCTGTTATAAACCCATATTTTGATAGTTTTTAATCAGTATTTTAGGCAACTAAGTGCTGAATGAAGCACAGAAGTGCTACCTATGTTAAAATTCAGGAGGCATGTGGAAGCAAGAGAAAAGGAGGTTTCAGGTAAAAACTACAGGATAATGCTTATGGTGAGAAGGAGTCCAAACAATGCTTGGAGACTAAATGGCTTCCTGATTTCTTAGCCTGGCACTGCTTTGGATACTTAGGCTGTTTTTCAAGTTAGGCTAAGGTGTAAGTGCTTCTTAAATTGAACAACAGGGAGGACAATGTCTAGTTTTCCAGATGATTTTGTAGGGCTTTTCCTTTGCTAAATCATCCTCTTGCTGGGGCTTGAATAAGAAGGTTTTGCCCTTTTTTCCCCTCGCTGCATCTCACCCTTCAGGCATTGTCTTCCTTCACAGAAAGGTTGGTTTGGCTGTGACCATCCCATGGTTTGCTCAAGATGAGATGTGATAGATGAGACTTTCAACTGTCACTACCTTATGCCCTCTTTTCTTTTGACTCAGTTTCTGAGTCCAGTTTGGTTTACCTGTGAAAGCCACCTGTCTCAGCAGTGCTGGCATCACATTTCAGCTGGAGTGATTGCAATCATGCAGACCAGAAGGAAACCCTAGACCCCTGTGGGTACCCTTTGCTGATAAGAAAAGACTTACAATGTCACTGCATTTTGTGTTTTTCAGAAATAATCTGTGATTTTCCAGAATAAGAGACACTTCCAGGGAGGGGGCAGCCACAGCTTCTCTGGGCAACCTGTGCCAGTGTCTGACCACCCTCACAGTGAAGAACTTCTTCCTAATATCTAATCTAAATCTACCCTCTTCCAGTTTAAAGCCATTTCCCCTTGTTCTATCATTAACTGCCTTCATGAAAAGTCCCTCCCCAGCTTTCTTGTAGCCCCTTCAGGTACTGGAAGGCCGCTATAAGATCTCCCTGGAGCCTTCTCTTCTCCAGACTAAACACTCATAGGAGAGGTGCTCCAGACTTCGGATCATCCTCATGGCCTCCTCTGGACTCGTTCTAACTGCTCCATGTCTCTCTTGTGTTGGGGGCTCCAGAAATGGACAAAGTACTCCAGGTGGGGCCTTACGAGAGCTGAGTAGAGGGGGAGAATCACCTCCCTCGACCTGCTGGCCACGCTTCTCTTGATGCAGTCCAGGATACGGTTATTGGCCTTCTGGGCTGCAAGCACACATTGTCTGCTCATGTTCAACAAATGCTGCTTGCTCAAAGGCAAAAGGAGCCAGGCTTGAAAGCTCTTGCTGGACCTTTTCTCCATCTGCCAACACAGTCATAGAGTCATGCATCTTGGACCTCAGTCTCTTGTCTGGCTCTCAACGAGCATTGGAATACCGTGGGAACCATAATGCCCATCAACCCAGCACGGCTCCAAAACTGCAAACAAATGCTGCTTGCTCAAAGGCAAAGGGAGCCAGGATTGAAAGCTTTTGCTGGACCTTTTCTCCATCTGCCAACACTGTCATAGACCCATCCTTTTTCGGTTTTCGTAATCTGCCGTGCTTCCCTTTATATTTGTTCTCATAAGGTCCCAAATGCTCCTAGTCAACTTTTCAGACCACCTCTTTCAACTTTGCACG